CTCATTCCACACAAGCCTACAGGTCATGAAGAATAGGGATTAGGATAGTGGATAAGTTGTTTTCTAAGTATTTCCAAGATCTTTCTGAATTAGCACGTCAGAATATGACTGTTACTTTTAATAGCTACAATTTCTCAAAAATCAGAGCATAGCTATATTTAAATATCAATCTAAAAGTTATAACTTATATACAATTTTAATTAGGTTTTCAACTTAGATCTAAAGTTACACATGAAATGAATTTTAGATTATGAGATGTTTTGAGTGTATTTATATTTAGATTAATATAGATGACAAAGTACACTGATATTTATCAACCTGACACTTGTAAGCAGATTTAAAATGAACTATTTTCATTATTTCTCCCAAAAGCCCTCCCTAATTTTTACCGTAAGGAGCTGTCCTATGCACTGTGGGGCGTTTAGCAGCACCCGTGAGATACTGGTAATACTGCCCTCCCGCCCGATTGTGAGAACCGAAAGATCTTCAGGCATTGCCAGATGTTCTTTGAGGGTTGGGGGTAGAATTGCCCTTGGCTGAGAACCACTGCCCTAGAGCCCTAGAACTCCTCTGCTTCATGCTCACTGGCAGTTAATGATCTCATCTTACAGGGCACAAATGGATAGCAAATTGTGGTGTCTGTTTGAGTCTCAGAGCTGTGTGTAAGACTCGTCTTCTTGCTTCTGGTTTTGCTCCTTAGGTTCTTCTACATTCATTCCCTCATTCATGTGCTAATGTTTACTGACCAGTGACTTCAGGCGAGTGACCTGCTGGGCATCAGAACTAGTAAGATCCTTGTTCTCTTGGAGCTTATGTTAGAGCGAGTAGGTGGCACCTTTCCTGACCACCTTATCTAATACCCATGCTCTTCCCCACTTCCCTACCTATAATCAATTTCTTTTCCCTTTTCCTGTTCACTTCATTGCTCCCTGAAATTATGTTCATTAGCTATTTATTTGCTTGTCTATTATATGTCTCCCTCACTGGAACGCAAGCTCCTTAGCAGCAGGAATTTCTACTGTGGGTCACTCACCTAGAAGAGGGAGCCACAGCAGGGCTAAATAAATATTTATTAAATGAATAAAGACAAGTTATACATCTGAACAAAGAATGAAAACAAGAGAAGCCTTTAAAATTCCTGTGAGGAATCTCCCTTAGCTCAGAAATTTTGCTCATCAGTTGTTTAATGAACCTACAGTTTAATGAAAATCTGTCCATTGATAAGGCCTCAAATGAGGTGAAGAGGTGACGTCTGATACCCCTGTGGCCGGTCTCGTCCACCCTAGGAAAGGGGCTCACAGGTGGGTGGGTGAGTGAGCAAATCTCAGGCTCCTTTAAGCACCTACCTGGTAAGGGACTCAGTGTCAGTGAGCTGCAGGCAAACCTTTCTGTGTGGGCACTGTGACCAGAAAAGCAAGGCCTGTTGGGGTGGTGGTAGTAGCAGTGTCCTTGAGATTTCAAAGTAATCCTGTCTTTGGCATAGGTTGAAAACAAGGTGGGTAATATAAAAATTCTGCTGAGTATTGCCTTGACTAAAAAATAAAGGGATAGCAGCCTAACTCATCGTTGTCTCTTCCTGTTCTGCCACTTGAGACTCACTGTCCAGAGAGGAGAGTTCCTCATTCTGGTGAAGTCTAAACCAATCAGACAGAAGAAATGATCCTGAAGAATTAGGTTTTTGAACAGCTGTGGGGCTACCCCATTAAGCATTAAACTATTTTTATTCTGCATGAAAACCTTTCTAGAACCTATTATATATATCTTTCACTTTTCAATATGTTACCCACTTTCTTTTCTTCTAAAAGACACTGTACTAAACTCAGTAATGTTTTCTGAGGCAGCAGGGCCTGGTAATTAAGAATATTGCTTCTGAAGTCAAAGAGCTTGGGTCTGAAGCCTGGCGTAGCCACTCACCAGCTGGGCGAGTTGGCGCTCCGAGCCTCGGCTTCCCGGTCTATAAACAGGAGTAACAGGCAGTATCAGCACCTGCCCCGGAAGGTTCTTGTAAGGGTTAAATGAACTAATACGTGTAATGTCCTTAGCACGCCGCTTGGTGTATAGTGTTGCTTGGGAAACGTTAGCTGCTGCTGTGGCAACTACTATTACTGTTATTCTTATAGCAGTATTTTTTTCCGGGTGCCTTGTGTGTATTATAAATGCCTTAACTTATTATAATATGCTACAAGCCAGTGATGCCTTTCTAAGGGCACAGAGTTACTGGCCTTCACGTGGCAGTCCTGACTGACTCGCTGCTGTGCTCTAAGATGCTGTCCTATGGTTTTTCTGTCTTCCTTTGTAAGGGCTCCGACTTCTCACTTCTGCTGCTGTTAGTCATTTTTCCTACCTCCATCAGCCTCTTTCCATGCTTCTGTTTTTACAGGGGGCACAAAAGCAGCAAACCAAGCTTGTGAGACATGTGCTAGTAGAAGCTAACATGCCCTAACTAGGCTGGAAAAGCTCTCTGGGGACTAGAGGGAAGGAAGCAGGCTCCACAGACAGCAATTCTGGCTCTTCAGAGGTATTTTATTTCCTGATTCACGAGCAAATATAAAAAGTTAGCTGAAAACCAAGTTTTTGGTGAGACAGATATCACTATGGCTATACATACATGTTAAAATTAAAAAGCCTCTAATTAGTTTCAAATTGATAATCATTAAGCTCTTACTAGAGCTAGGTACTGGGGGAACAAAAATGAATGATATAGTCTTGAACCCCAAGAAATCTGTGATCTAGAGGGGAGATCAAGCATAAACAATGTCAGGCTAATACAAAAAGAGGTACCTGGGATTTTTACGCTGGGAGCTAAGGGAGCCTAGAGAAGAGCCCTGGACGAACCTGGGAGGCAGGGAAAGCTTCCTGAGGAGGGTGGTGCCTGGACGGAGACTTGACAGCCAGGCCGAACAGGCTGTTCCAAGCATGGGAACAGAGGAGGTGACAAGGAAGGGAGCAGTCAGTGCTTTTGTGAGTGGGGGTGTGTGTGTGTGTGTGTGTGTGTGTGTGTGTGCTTTTGTGAGTGGGGGGTGTGTGTGTGTGTGTGTGTGTGTGTGTGTGTGTGATTAAAGTTTGATACTGATGTGATAAAAAAAAGTCCTCGGCCGAACAGGAGGTGACAAGGAAGGGAGCAGTCAGTGCTTTTGTGAGTGGGGGTGTGTGTGTGTGTGTGTGTGTGTGTGTGTGTGCTTTTGTGAGTGGGGGGTGTGTGTGTGTGTGTGTGTGTGTGTGTGTGTGTGATTAAAGTTTGATACTGATGTGATAAAAAAAAGTCCTCGGCCGAACAGGAGGTGACAAGGAAGGGAGCAGTCAGTGCTTTTGTGAGTGGGGGTGTGTGTGTGTGTGTGTGTGTGTGTGTGTGTGCTTTTGTGAGTGGGGTGTGTGTGTGTGTGTGTGTGTGTGTGATTAAAGTTTGATACTGATGTGATAAAAAAAAGTCCTCATGTGCCATGTCAAGAGGACATTACCTATGAAGAGATGAGGGGCCAATGAGAAACCTTTAAGGAAAAAAATAGCAATTTTCATATTTCCCTTTTAGATGTATAACTCAGCATTGTGAAAACTAGTGCAAAGCTAGGAAAGACTGGAAGCAGAGAGACCAATTAGGTGTCTGTAGCCATTAATAACCAACAGAGGCAGTAAGTCCTACTGAAGACAAAAGAGCAGTTATGGGGAGGAAGAGAGAGGCCCACATGTATTTTGGAGATAAACTGGACATACCTGGTGGATTATTAGATGAAGGGTCCAAGACTAAGAGGAGTCAAGGATGACTGCCAGGTTTTGGGGTTGATTATTGGTTAGATGAGGGAACAATTAGCTGAGAGAGAAAGAACAGGTATTTTCTTTTAAAATTTAATTTTGCTTTCTTCTCTTTTGAGTAGTGGGCATAGGAAGATGAATTAATGAGTTCAGGTTGAGACTTGTTAAGTTTGAGCTAATTATTGTAGAGGTCAGAATTGAAGATATAAATTTAGAGTAATTAACAGATGGAGTCAAGAGAGCAGATAAGAAGCCCTAGGACGGGGTATGGAAAGGACAGCATCAAGACAGGGGTGGATGGGACACTGGAGGACACCAGTGCTGAAGGAAGGGCACAGGAGGGTGGCTGTGAAAGGGCCTGGGACACCACAGAGAGGTACACAGAGAGAACAGTGAGTTGTAGACGGCATGCTCAATAAAGGAGCTAAACACACTGGTAACAACTGCATTTTCTGAGCACTCACTACACAGGCATCAGGCACTGTGCTGTTTTATACACTGGATCTCATTTAACCTATTATCCATACACTAGAGATGATGAATCTGAAGTCCAGTGAAGTCATGTAACTTACCCAAGGACACAGGGTGAGCTGGCAGAACTGGGATCTGAATCCAGGTCTGGTAGGTTACAAAGCCCATGTTCTTAACTCTGGAGTGAAAGAATTTCTTCAGGATGCAACTTAACATTATCATAATGAGGACTGCTGTACAGTGCTTTCCAAGAAGCATAACCCAAAACCTGTCTAATAATCTCAAAGGAATATTTAGTACTTAATGAGGTCATTACACATTGATCAGTTTGTATAATGAAAACATATTATTTCACTGATATGTTTCTTCATAATCTTCTTATTTCATAAACACTATTTATCAAATTGTGAGAATAAAGTCCAACACCAGGCCCCCTCCTTGGAGCCCTGCTCTGCTCCAGCGACGCCAAAAGGGAGGTCCTGGGTAGACTGGTCAGCATTCTTCAAGAAAAACTAAGTGCCCTGGACCTAGACATCTGTCTGCTTAGTTTCCCCACAAGTATCACCACTGGTCTCAAGGAAAACCAGAGAGGGTATGTATGCACAGTGTAGCACAAACCTGCCACAGACATGGAAAGTTCATTAAAACAGGCACTCTGTAGAAAGTTTATTTTAGGTAGTTATTATCTACTTAAAGACAGAGAATAAGAAAGTCATTCCTATTATAAAAGTTGTAATTTTCCCATTTCCCACTAGAGGAAGCAACAACATCACTCTTACCATTTGGTGGGTAAAATACAGCATATTCTTCTATTCCTAGTTTTCCTATAAGAGAAAGCCATAGAGGGGTTCAGTATGATTAAGTAAACAAAACTTGAAAAATTAACTCAGTTTTGAATATATAATGATTAATGGAATTTTTAAAACTACAATAGTAAAATCTCATTTCATTTCACTTTATGGTATGAAATTAATTTGAAAACATGCCAGCCAATCTTTTGATATTAGCAAATCCTTTCATCAATTAAAATCAATAATATAAACTTAAGTACAAGGCAAGTGATACAAAAATCATTAAAAGAAGAAACGCTTGCAAGCTTCTTGAGAAGCATCTATTTGTAAGCTTAGAATTGTTTGCTAACCATAAACAATTCTAATCTAGTCATTAAAACAGGTCCTAAGCTTTGCAATGCCTCATTAGTTTCCATTTTTATAGAATGTGCTGAAAAGTTAAAAATTAAATGTCTTTAACTATACAGTGGTAATATTTTCTAAATCCCAAAACAGTTCATGTGTTCCAAGAATGAGGCTAAATATTTGAAATCAGAATTGTCTCAAAAAATGAAAGTATATTCATCATATTCAAGTTTTTAAATATAGCTTTTCCTCAAAACTTTTAAGGTTCTGAGTTTTTTCCCACCCACTTTCCACCGAGTATCTTTAAGAAGTTTTTATGTTTATACTGATAGTTTTTCTAACACCTTGAGTCTATGGAAAAGTCACATGTAATCTTGCCCCAAGCTTTAAGGTAATATTTTTAATTAAATTTAAAAAAATTCTTTTGTTCTTGTTGAGGGTGGTGGCAGAGAGGAGATGAAGAATAATCACCACGACCAGTTTAGGTTAAAGTGGAGACGACAGGACTGATTGTGTGTGTAAGAATGGAATAATGAAAAATAGATGATAGACAGACAGACAGATAGAAAGAACAGAGTACCTGCGCTAGACGTCAAGAAGCAAACAGAATAAATAGAAGACTGGTCCTTCAACCACGTGGCTTACAATCCAGACTGAACCAGGAAACATTTAGGGTATGTTTGCTAAGTTTCCTGGCACAGGCTTCAGTGTTTTAGAGGTTTAGAGGAGAGGGAGATTGATGATGGGTTGATGGTCTTGGTGGGATATAGGCGAATTCTTCAAGGATGTAGGAAGGTCCAACTTCAATTTAGGAGCAAAGGAACCCAGAGAACCCCCAAATTGTGGGAAGAGCCTGGTCCCAGCACAAGGCGATGTGGGCTTGTCCTAGGGCAGGGGTGGGCAGAATCAGGCAGTCAGACTTAGGAGATACAGGAGAAAACTGGTGCTGGGTGTTCACCACTTAACACAAAGGAGAAGTTGGGAAAGGGTTCCCCGTGAAATTAATTCAGCTGTCGGGTGATGGCAGGGTTTTGAAATAGCAATACTATCTTGTAGGCAGCTAGTGATAAAGAGGAGAAGAAAGCACTAAAATAGAAATTAAAGAACTATTAGCACATAAATTATAGCAACATTTTAAGTGTTGTAGAACATTTTGAAAGAAGAAATATAGAGGGTAAAAAAAAGTAGAAAAAGCAAGTTCATGTGATAAACTCATAAAAGGGAAAATAAAAGTCAACAGGTAAGACAAAAACAGCAATAGAGACAGCAAGCAGTGTTGGTATGATAATATTTAAGTGTTATAAAATACTTCCTTGCCCTGCTGGCTGTGGCTCAGTAGTGGAGCATCAACCTATGATCCAGGAGATCGCAGTTCGATTCCCGGTCAGGGCACATGCCTGGGTTGTGGGCTTGATCTCCAGTTGGGGGTCTGCAGGAGGCAGCCAATCAATGACTCTCTCTCATCATTTCTATTTTTCTCTCTCTCCATCTCCCTTCCTCTCTATGAAATCAATAAAATCTTAAAAAACAACAACAAAAACTTCCTTGCCCTAGCTGGTGTGGCTCAGTTGGTTAGAGGATTGTCCCACACACCAAAAGATGGCAGGTTTGATTCCTGGTCAGGGCACATACCCAGGTTGCAGGTTCAATCCCTGGTTGTGGTGCATGCTGGAGGCAACTGATCAGTATCTCCTGTCTCTCTGTCTCTATCTCTCTGTCTCTCCCTTCCTCTCTAAAAACAAAACAAAACAATTAAAATAATTACTTCCTTTATGTTACTAAAATTTTACCTCTTATGTATGATCTCGGTGGTGAAGCACTGTTGTATGCAAAGTGACCCAACACAGATGTATCCCGGGAAAAACAAAGTAAAACCTGGGTATAACATTGGAAAAAAAACAAACAATTAAGCACTGTTTAATTCATTGCTATTTCCTGCTTGGGAGGCACTGAGTAATCGGTCAAGTTCAGTACTGTGCTTTGCAATGGGAAGAGTGCCCCCTATTGGTAGACCATGGTAAGTGTAACTCAGAACGCCAAGAGCAATGGGCAACTTCATTGGAGGATTTCTTACTGTTAGCCGCTTACACCTTGAACGACAGCTGAAAATGCAAGTTGCTAACTACTAGGTGATTCTTTTATTGTGTTTTGTAGCTGAAAAGAGAAAAACCTGGGAAAAATTTAACAGATGAGAAATGTATGAGAGGAACCTAGGGAACTACAGCAGCACAGAGCAGTTTGGGAAGTGCAGAAAACTGGAACTAGACTCACTGCTGGGATGCAGCAGCAGGCAGTTGGGCATGTCAGGGTGAGAGGGAGGGCAGCTCAAGATATTTGGAAGGGATGGCAGCCGCAGCTGGTCATCCTACCAGCAGGTACAATGTGGCAGTCTCCCTGAATCAAGGATGTCCGTTAGGAGGGCCTGGATTGCTGACAGCAGCCTGGAATTTTGGGGCAGGGGCCAATGCCGGGGAAGGCAGTTAGTGACAGGAAATCTGGGTCTTGGTATTAGAAGATCTGGGATTCAAAAGATGTTACAAAGAAAAGAAGCTGGGAACGACTGGAAAAGGCAGAAGCCCAGCTAACAGAACAGGGACACAAAGTCAGGGTGGAGTAGCAGCAAGAGTGAATGAACAGGGGAACGGTGGGTCCAAGACACAAGGAAGGGGAAAAAGATAACAGGAAGACTGCGCAGCAGTCAGGCCTAAGGGTGAAATGTGTATCAACCACTGCCATTGGTTTATTTTTATTGTATTTTAAACTACTACACAAGCAATACATGTTTATGATAAAAATTAGACAGCAGTGCGGTAGGCCTAGGGCGGGGGTGGGGGCAGGGCTGAGGTCAAAGGGAGAAGGTCAAAGGGGGGGCATATGCAATACTTTGAGAAATGAAGATAAATTTTAAGAAATTAGAAATATAATCAAAATAGGAAAAATACTGATAACACCCCCAGTGTTAATATTTTGATGTATATCCTTTCAGACTCTTCTTGTACACAAATATGTATATTTTTCAAGCAAAATAGGATTACTGTTCTATAATCTATTTTTTCTCAATATTATAAAATAAACATTTCCTACCAAATTTTTTAATGTGCAGAATATTCCACTATTCAGGTAAACAAGTTTATTTAACCTTTTTGTTGATCATTTAATTATCTCCACTTTTTCTGAACTATAAACAATGTTGCAGTGACTTCCTTGTATCTAAATATTTATGTACACCTTTACATAAATTTCTAAAACTGGACTAGACGTCTTGTCAAGTGATGGGCATTTTAAAACTAAAACTTCTGATACACATTGCCAAAGTGCCCTCCAGAAAGGGTTTCTTTTTACTTAAACATACCCAGCAGTAAGATAGGGCACATTTTCTCTTATTCTCATCAAAACATGTTACCATCACCTTACAGGTAAAAAATGGCATCGTACTTTAATTCCAATCTTCCACGGGCACTGACGCCTGGAAACCACATGAAGACCCAAGGAGAGGGCAGGGTTAACTGAATGGCCACAGGGATAAAGGGAGAGCGGAAGCGGGAACACACCACTGGATTCAGCAATATGGAGTCTCTCATGACCTTTGGTAGAGCAGCTGAGCCAAAAAAAGTCTGCTCACGGAGGGCTCGGAAGGGAGTGGGAGGGCGGGAACTGGAGACAACATCTACAGATTTTTTTAAAGCAGTTTTGCTGAATAAGGAAACAGGTGGGGCAATAGCTGGAAAGGATTTAGAATTAAGAAAATTTTTTGCTTCACTTTATTTTGCTTTTATCTTCAGATGAGAGGATTAACACATATTTGTTTACTGAGGGGCAATCCAAAGATAGGGAAACTGAGAATGGAAAAACTACAATCGCACTGTGCTTGAGTACCAAGGGGAGATGAGTTTTATGTCCAAATGCAGGGGTTGGCTTTATCATAAATAAAAGCAAGGACAGTTTGTCCATAACAGCAGGGGAAGCTGAGTACATGGGTGCAGACACAGGCAGCTGGAGTACACGTGGTGGGGGGAGCACGTGTGGGTTCTCCACTGAGAGCTTTTATTTTTTTCAGAACCAGGCGTTTTTTATAACACTTCTATTCTGAAGCCACCACTAAACTACACTATTCCCAGAGTTTATTTCCCCTTTAACTGTGTTTATATGGAACACTACAAATTACAGAGCTGCCAGAACAATTATCATATTATGACGATGTATTTGCCTTTCCCCTCATTTCCCACTAAAACGTGAGCTTAATGAACACCTTCTTACGCAGCACCTACTACAGGGCCTGCGTCAAAACAGACACTCACTAATTTGACTAAATGGACATGTGAATAAAGAAATCTGACGGCACCTGGGTCTTCCTTAACTCAATTCTACAGCATTAGAATATCTGTCACTATGGCAAACTCTGATGCCTCAGGACTGCGATTAAGCACATGCCACGTAAGTCAGGCGCATGATAGAGGATTTGTAACACAACGGGAGGAGTAGATCCCTGTGCCTTCCCTTCACTGTATGGGAATTCTTCCCATGGACATTTCATACACTTTGAACAAAAAGTTAACTTATAGGTTGTTATGATGCCATTAAGTACTGGAACCTGAAAATGATACACAACCCAATTTACTTCCATGGAATAAGGGTGCCTTCTGATTGAACACATTTTAAAACTCTCACATAATTTAAGACTTTCAGCACCAGTAAGTATTTCAAGCAAAATAAAAAGTAACAACTTTGGAATGATAAAAAGTTGACTTATTACTCAAAACATTATTTCTATAATGTTCAGTGTTGTTGCCTATAAAATTCAGGTAACTACCATGAGTTATTCAGGAGCAATACCTGTGTACCTTTCACATGGGCCCAGGCTTTCCTTAAAGAGGGATTGCTGAGTGTTTCTCATCTGTATACGGACACAGCAATGACACATGCCATCTAATTTTGTAGTCTAGTCACAAACCCAATAAATGGGTTAGACCCAGAACATGGCCAGAAACATTAAATTCAGTCCATTATCACCACAGAGCAGTTACGTTGCTAGGCAGCTCTGCCAAAGGAAAGCCTGTAATTAATGATGTTTAAAAAGGCTTTCTTTTGTCTTATCTCACGAGGGCGCGCGTGCACACTCACACGCATGCATATATGAATAATTTTTCCCCAGAGACAACTCGAAACTCAATTTCTGATAATCAAATGTTGTTTTTAATGCGTACAATTACATTTTTTATTACTTAAAATCAACTTTTCTCTAATAATTCAGATAAATCATTTAAAAGTATGATCATGAAAAGTGTTTTCTTAGTAACTATCTCCTTGAGGAAAATTTAATTCTGCATAATTCCCAAAGACAGAGCTTAAAAATTCTAACTATCTCTTTATTTATGTTATAGGATAAAGGTCCACATTGCAGCTTATTTAGTGTCACTTCCAAGTACTAAAAGCAGCAGAGGCCGTGAGATCTATAACTGAAAAAGTTATATAAAATTAATACAATTTGGGTAAAATATTGGTAACAAGGGAAAATAAGGTAAAATCACACTCCTATAGTACTGTCTGTGACATTAAATAAATATCAAATGCCTTACATACTTTTAAAACTTTCAAAACATTTTTACTGCTCATGTCTTGTCTCCTTAGCTAGAATGTAAGCCCATAAATGTGGTATCGATGGAGAAAGAATAGTATATTCAGTAAATGGTGTTGGGAAAACTAGATAACCACATGCAGAAGAATAAAACTGGATCCCTATCTTACACCACTAGCAAAACTAAACTTGAAATGGATAAAAGACTTAAATTTAAGACCTGAAACTATAAAACTCCTAGAAGACAACATAAGTGAAAAGCTTCTTGACCTTGATCTTGGTAGAGATTTCCCAGCTATGACACCAAAAGCAAAAGTGGAACTACATCAAACTAAAAGGCTTCCACACAGAAAAATAAAATATGAACAAGGTGAAAAGGCAACCTATAGAACAGTAGAAAATATTTGCAAATAATTTACCTAAAAAGGGGATTAATATCCAAAATATATAAAGAACACATACAATTCAACAAGGAACAAACTGCCTGATTTAAAAATGAGCATAGGAATTGGATAGACAGTTTTCCAAATCNCAAGGAACAAATTGCCTGATTTAAAAATGAGCATAGGAATTGGATAGACAGTTTTCCAAATCAGATATACAAATGGCCAATAGGTACATGACAAGATACTCAGCATCACTGATCATCAGGGAAATGCAAATCAAAACCACAATATGATACCACCTCACACCTGTTAGAATGGCTATCATCAAAAAGACGAGATAAGTATTAGCAAAGGTGCAGAGAAAAGGGATCCCTAGTGCGCTGTTGGTAGAAATGCAAACTGATACAACCACCGTGGAAAGCAGTAGGAAGGATACTCAAAACAACCGAAACCTGAACCACCCTGTGCCCCAGCAATCCCTCTTCTGGGTACATATCCAAAGGAACTGAAGTGGGAAACCTGCAGAGATTCCTGACCTGTGTTCACCGCAGCACTATCAGGAGCCAGGGTAAGGAAACAACCTAAGTGTATATCAGAAGATGAATGAACAAAGCCGTGGTATATAATACAATGGAATATCACTCAGCTGCGAGTAAAGAGGAAATTGTGCCGTTTGTGACAACCGGAGTGAACCTTGAGGGCATTGCGCTCAGTTAACAAGTCAGGGAGCTGAGGGGCTCTGCGGAGCCTCCAAGTTTGTGTCTGGCGAGTAGCACAAAGTGGGCCTGTTGGGAAGGGGTTTTCTTGGGAGGAGAGCTGTTCTCCTGCAGTGGTCTGGGATGCATGCCCTGTTTCAGCCCCTTCAGCCTTCGGCGATCCCCGACAGCCTGCCCCCCACCCCCACCCCCACCCTC